CTGAGTTTTGTTGCTCTGAAAGCTTTGGTATATTCACTTCCCCCCACCCTTTCTGTTTTGTAGCGGCTTCATACAGTTACTGTGTGACTCTAGCAAGAGGCTGCTACAACTGCTTCCCCACCAACTTGAGGCTTTTATCGCAGTACCCCTCCTGACGAGCCCTGCCCATCGCCGCGGAGGAAACGCAATATCTGCTAGCCGCAGCGATGAGGACGCGGCCACGACCAGGCGAACCACACCTCGCATACTCGGTGTCGCTGCAGGCGGTGCCGCGGAACAGGGTCTCACTGGTCCCTCCGAGGTTGCCTTCCTTGCTCGCCTCCTTATCGCCCTGCAGTTGGACTTTCTCTCCTTCTTGCGTACAGGTACGTTGTCGAGCCTACCGTATTTTTTTTGTGGATTATAAGGTCCACTTGAAAGCCTTTAATTTTCGCAGAAAAGGAAAGTGCATCTTTTAACCAGGAGCGTGTGTAGTCAAGAGCGTCGTTTGCTTCGCCATAATATTCCAGTCTGCGTGTATGGCCTCCAAAATGGCACTTGCAAAGAGACAGGCGTCCGACGCGGACTTAAAACTCAAGGCCCTCACGAATAGAGGCAAAGGTTCGCATCCCAGCTATTTGTCTAGAAGAAGTCGTAGCGTTCACCGGAATCGTAACTTTATTCACCTGAGCTCTCGGGCTCTTGTGGGAGTCAATCGCCCCGCCCTACACCCCTCCCCTCAAACAGTTGATTGGTTCCTGCTCCCTATAACTGTTGCTCGCTTTTCGTTGACGGTTTATCTCTGACGATGGACTCCCGCAAGAGCCCGAAAGCTCAGATGAATAAAGTTACGATTCCGGTGAACGCTACGACTTCTTCAAGGTCTTCAGTCTTGCAGTAGAATATGGAAATAGAGAAGCTGCGAGAGAATTCAACATTAATGAATCAGTGATATGGAAGTGGAGGAAGCAAAGTGATCACCTGCGCCCAGTAAAGGGGGCCAAGCAGAGTTTCCGAGAGAAGAAAGCGAAATGGGCACAGTTAAAGGAAAATATGGAAAGGTGGGTTACAGAACAGAGAGCCGTAGGTAGATGCGTCTCTATAGTCTCTTTTCGAATGAAAGCAAAAACTTTAGAACGGGGCATGAATATTAAGGACCGTTGAAATGGCTGGCTAGTAGCCCTCGTTGGATCAGGAGCCCCGCCGGGTTGGCCTCAATCCCGGCGGCGAGGAGGAGGGGAAGTCGGAGCAGCGTCGTTAAAAACGGAGTTTTAGAGTAGGAGGGGGGGGGATTGATCCACCTTAGGGAGGTTTTGTGTAGCAGACCTAGGCCGCCGTGAGGGCGGATGGGAACGTGGTCGAAGACGCAGCTGCTGTTGTTCCCATGACCGTCGAAATGGTCCTTCCTGGTGGTTTTGTTTTATGAAAAGGTGTAATCTCTCCAGCCACAAAAGACCTACCGTCTTGTAGTAACTGCCAAATGGCTGTGAAGAAAAGCCGGCCACTTTCCGCACATAATGTATATCGAGGATCCCTGAAAAGAAGATGCAGCCATTAATGCTTTAACGATGTTGAAAGTTATTGTGGATGCATTCAATAAATTTTGACTGATTTTATGGTGCGGTGCACATTGTATAAGTGAAAAGTTCGGCAATAACCCATCCACTGACAGTACGCCTTATAATCCGGTTTGCCCTATAGTGCGGAAAATAAGGTAGTCACCTTTGAGGTCATTTTGTGTGAGGTTTTGCTGCCTCTCTCGAGTACTGAGGGCTTGAAACACACATAAAGGTTTTATGCGTTTGTTTGCCGTTTGAATGTGTCTGCTGTCTCGTAGTCTGACGCGAACATCCGCTCTCTTACTCGATTCTTATTTAAGTTGTTTTCTGTATTTCAGGTTTCTTTCCGGCCACCTT